CAGGGGGATGGCCACATCGCAATCCCTTCTCCTCCATTCTCTTCTCAGTATTTTGGGCACACATGCACATGTGCCCGGCGTGAGTTTAAGCCACTGGGTCCAGGACTTGAACCGCGGTCGACTATGTGGGAGTCCAGCGACATAGCTGGTCTGCTAACTGCTGGTCCCTAAATAAAATTTTCAAATGATTTCAGAAAAATTAAAAATAGAACCAAAAGCAATGTTTTTAGGTTTATGCTCCAGTCACTAGTCACACTTCAAAAACAAAAATTCTATTTGGAGGTACTTGTACTTGTTCCTACACCACTGATATTAGAAGGTTTACATGATTTAGTGCTCCTTGTACTAAAAAAATATACATACACATGCAGGTGGCTTCAGCAACCTTACTGTTATTGGTATGGAAATGCTCAGTAATTATTATTTGTAAATAAACAAATAGGGGCCCACAGGGGATATAGTGGAGGCACTGGACTGCCACAGAGATGGACCATGGTTCAAATCCTGGACCTGGAGGCTTGAAACTCATGCCGAGTATGTGTGCGTGTGTGCCCAAAATCACAAGAGGAGAATGGAGAAGGGATTGTGGCATGGCCATCATCCCTGGGGGGGGGGTAGTTTCTTGCTTTCTCTCTCTTTGTCTCTCCAGTGAGGGCACATGTCCTTTAGCAAAAATGTATCTTAGAAGGAAAAAAAAAAGGAATAAATCAGTACACTGGTTATGTTAGACAATTTTGATACTAGAGTTCTTCAAGTGTAGAATTCCCTCTGCTGAGATGTGAAGATAACTCTGACCCGCTTTATAGAGTTCTCCAAGTACAGCAACTATGACACACAACGCTCTCCAGGGAGGATGCTTTGCTGCTCTTTATCTGCCTTGATCGAATTAATTTCAGAATGAAATCAAACACAATACATTATAGTACCTGCACAACTTAAGTAACTGATTAACGGAACAGTATGAACCTTGTGGAGGTTCAAACACAGAGGACTGTATTATTTCTCAATTCCCTGATCTCAGCATAAATCTCTCTTCGTGGTGAGTAGATCCCTTAAACATACCTGGTACAGATCCCAGAATTTTCAGATCACTTTCATCTATTAAAAGTCTACCCAATTTAAAACACCGATCGTATGTCTGAAATGGGTTCTTCCCCAGGGCATCTCCTGGATCAGAGTCCTGGGAAATAGGCAGGAGTCCCTATAATGCCCAAGTAATGTCAACCCAAGTCTCTGTGCCTGCTGTCAACTTCCTCCTATTTTCTTTCTGCCTGCTCAGGTGGGTGCAAGGCACTGCAGTAAATGTACTCCTAAAATATCTCTTGATTCTCACCAAGGTGAAGACATTTCTTGCAAGTCACAATCCCAACCTTTGGGAGGTCTGCTCATTCACTCCTCCTCCCAACTCCAGCCCACAAGAAGGGAGTTAGGAAAGGGCGAGTAGTTAATGCAGGGCAGGAGACTGACTCCTGGCCCATCTTTTACAAGGCCTTATACAAAACAGCAGAGGTAAAAGCCCACAGTTATCCCTTTCTTCTTTAGTTGGTTTCTGTTTACTAAGACTCCAAAGGCCTTCTTAGGGGATGTCATGAGCAGCACTGATATATAAAATGTTCAACAGGTGGAGGTGCCAGTGGATAAAGGCAGGAGTTGTCAGGGTTGTGTCCTACAGATTTCTGCTGTGTCCTTCATTTGCTAGAGGGATCAGGGGAGCTTAAAGATGCTGGTAGAGTTGGTTAAGGGTACTTAGTGGGGTGGATCGTGGTCTTTTTACTAACAGTAGAAAGTAATTGGTGTTTTAGTATCAAAACATTGTACTATCTGAAATCATTCCTGC